GCTATTGGAGTCTTCTATGCCACTCAGACGGGCAACACGGAGGACGTGGCCAGCAAGATTGCTGAGGCGACAGGGTCGGAGGCTTCCGATTACGATGGTGAAGATTTTGCTGACCTGGACGGAGTCATTGCTGGCTGCCCCACGTGGAACACTGGAGCAGACGAGTATCTTGGCTTCCCTTCACTAAAGTGCACCAACGGAAAGTAAGAGAGTTTCAGCACATTCTCAATGGTTCAGGGTACCCAAGGCCATGTTGCTTTTTGCGTTGAGACGCTGGTGGTGTTCTCACGTGTCGTTTGGGCAGGCGTCTGTTGCCGAATGGAGTTTCTGAAGGCTATTGTCTGTGGAGGTTTTCGGGTAGGGTTCAGTAGAAGCAGGATGAACAAATTTGGAGGTACGTGCATACCCGAATGTGAGAAGTGCTTTGCGTTCAAGTTTACGCAATATGAACTTTGCATTGTAAGACGGTCTAGGTACCGATCTGGCACAACCTGGGATGATTATCTGGACACCATCAAGGAGTCCGACCTCAGTGGTAAAAAGGTTGCCATCTTCGGCTGTGGCGATTCCCAGAGCTACGCAGACAACTTCTGCGACGGCATTGAGGAGCTTCATGATGCTTTCGCTGCAGCTGGTGCCAGCATGATCGGCGCCTAGGCTTGTAGTTTATAGGGGTTGGGGTGTACTGATAGGCTCGAAAGCAGATTAGTCAAATCGGCGGTTTCTGCCGCATGCTGGGTCGGCGACAGTGATGCAACAAAGGCTACGTGGATGCTTCGGGCTACAGCTACGGCGAGTCCAAGAGCGTGAAGAGCGGCAAATTCTTGGGCTTGCCTTTGGACCAGGTTCCTCTGAAATTGATGGGTAGGTTCTTTCTCATGTGTAAACGTGCACCCAACAAGGAAGGCACATGATTTTGCATAATAACTCTGCCAGAGCGCAGGACAATGAAGATGATCAGACGGATGATCGCATCTCTGCGTGGGTGGAGCAGCTGAAGTCGGAGGGTATGCCCCTGTGAGGAGTTGTAGGTTAAAGGTCAGATTTTACCATGTCTGCAGACAAATGCAGACTTGGCCAGGCAAAGGTCCTGTATACTTTCATAACTACATGATTTATAGAGTCTTTAGAGCCGCGGACGTGGAACGTGACAGAGCGTCAAGAGCCTTATTCGAAGAGCTTGGAGATTTCCATGTCCGTGGTCAGCAACGGATATCTCTTGACTGTGTGAGATTTGTGCATTGAGCTTGTGATTTGTATGTGCACATGGCAGCTTGTACAGACTTGTAAGAGCGAGGTGCGTTTCACGCAGTTGCAGCTTGCGCAGCTGGAGTCATCGTACCTTCAGTCATGCTCAACTTCCGTGGTGCAACCTTTAGGGCAGAAAGCAAGCGTGATTTTCTTCCAGAGGTGATGTTTGCCGCTTTCCTAGGTTTATGAGTAATACCCTGGCCTTGGGCCTGAATGTCAATAACTAGTACTGTACGTGCTTCGAGCTACTTGGACCCCTGGCATGTATATATTATTCGCATAAGACCCATATAGATGCTTATAGAATCCAAAGGAAGCCCTTGAGGCATCGAAAAGCTTCGTCATGCAATATGAAAGACCTATAATCAGCGGTTTTTCATGAATGCTAGTCAAAAATGGTGCGCATGGAGCTAGGAAGCGTTTAGGGCTTAGGTCCAAGCACGGCAGTGCAAACCACAGAATCTGAGTCAGCTTCATCGCAGAGACTGCGACAGCCACGAACCCTCGGATGTTGGCTGAAAGCATATGAGCTATAGTCTAAACTCCTTGACTCCTTAAAGGGGAGTTATACGGGGTATTATATAGGGGAGTACTATAGGGGTAAATAGGGGTGAATAAGGGCGATACTAGGAGGTTAGAGAATGGCTCATACAAGAGACAGCCACTCTTCCTGTGGTACAATTTCAGGCTAAAGGCCCTCAGGCGCACGCCTTCGCCCTGCTGCGTAGCAACTCGGTGGTCAATGGAGGCAGGGATCGCTAGTGGAGTGAGGACACAGACTACTTAAAAAGCTCGAAGAATTTCCAATACAATCCCCTTGAAACCCCTATATGAGTACCTTTGGTATACCCCAGAACTCGATTCTAATCAAGTAGTTATCTTTACTTTGATCATCAACTTAAAAGGCATCTTAAAGCTTAAGCCTGAAACCCTAAACCCTTAGCCTTTTATCCCTGTATGGTCCATTAACCTTCTGTCAACCTCCATGAAGCCAGATTTCAGGCCTTAGGCCCTGAGCCCCCGCAAACCCAGAAACGACAAGCGCAACCCATAGCAACACCTATAGGCATAGGCCTTATGCGCACCATATACCCTTGTATACCCTAAACCCTAAACGCGCACATGACATATGTATATATGCATGTCTTGATTACATATACCCTAAACCCTAAACCCTAAACTATATAAGTGTATCCATTTGTACGCCTGTGTACCACGATAGGTCTCCACTCTCGCACCCACCAGGTACGCTCAGGAGAACCAGTACCGCAAGGTTCATCCCGTGAAGCACCTCGCGGAGGAGGAGGCGGCATTTACAACACGGGGGGGGGACGGGTTTAGGGTTTAGGGTTAGAGGTTTAGGCCTGTAGAGCTCAGAACTTTCGGCTTTATAGGGCCTAAGTTGTAGCGTTCAGGGTTTTTGGGTGGTAGAGTTTCAGATCAAGGGTTTCGGGGTCTATGGGATTGAGGCTTTGGGGTGAGGTCCATCTCAGGATGCTGGGTTTTTGTTGCAGGTCATGCAGGCATAATGCTGGGTTTGCACAAAAAAGCTATGTGGATGTTGGGATTCCGGCAAAAGTTCGACTCAAAAGTGCGGACTCTGTTTGTTGAGAATTGTAGGACGCATCTTGATACATATATGTCTACTTTTATATCCACACACATTTTCAGTGAAAGAGATTGTGTAAGCAGTTGTGGGGCACATTGGAACATCAATCGAGAAATTCCCATTATGGTGGTGAGGGTCTCTCTCTTAGCTGCTGGGAGGAAAGACCTTGGGCACCCTCATGTTCATGCATGCTCGACCCTAAACCATAATCCCTAAATCCTAAACCCATGCCTGCTTCGCAGACACTTCACTCAGACATGTAGGGCTGACTTCATTCAGTTTTAATGCCAGACTTGCCTTGATCTTGGGACTTCTGCAGCTGCATATCCCAGTTCTCAGAAGCCGCCCTGCTGGAAGACAGAAAGTTCAAACACCTCGCTTCTGATCAAACCCTACAACCCTTATTTAACCCGTGTCATACCTACATGCAGTGATCCAGGTCAACCCCCCCACGAAATTGCATAGAACATGGTGGTTTCGATTTATTTTTTCCTTGTCATGTGCATTCATGCATGGACAAGACATCGAAACGTCGCCAATGATAGAAAATGTAATGGGACTGCTCCGCAAATTAGGGTAAAGGCAATGAGAGAGAATCTGCAGTGTGGTTTCCAGGGAGTGCAAACCATTGTGGTATAAAGGTTGTTGATGAAAAATCTGAGGTCCCTTTCTAGGAGTCCACACAGTATTCTGGGCGTGTTTTCGGAGAATCCTACTGCCGAAAATTCTGTGGACGGATCAAGTCTTGCACCACCTGAGGTCCGGCCAGTCCTAGGAATTACAGTAGTTCAGGAGCTCTAGGCGTTACAAGGTGTTCTTCATCAACAGTATTGTAGCAGCCTAGATATTGACTGTTTAGCCTTACAAGCATTTCTCAACTTAATTTTCAACCCTATAGAAATACGCAGCAGAACATATCCCATAACCCTGTGCCGAAGCTCCTGTAGCTTCCACTTCGGGAAGCACTCTTGTACCTCTCACGTTGGGTGTTGCATTATGATGGGCCACAACAAGGGCCCACATCATGTTCAGAAAAGCCCAAATGCAAATCATGGGGCTTGGTAGCTACGAATCCTGTAGTCCCGAAGGCTTGTAAAACCCTAAGCTCTAAGCCCTGATATGCTTGGAACACTTGGACCCGAGGGTTGTTTTGCAAGGGTGCAGATTGTCCGACTTAATGATCCATGAGCTTTGCAGTGCCGTCTTTCAAAGAGAATCTTTTTCCCGTGTGTATTCAAGATGAGTATTTTAGTATCAAGCATCCTCATTACGTGAATCCTGAATAAGAGGGCCCGCGCTACTGAAAAGCTGCTGCACGACACCTACTGTACGAAGGCCGACGTCTCGCGATGGGCATTCCCTTCGAACGCTGACTGAGGTGGTCGCTAGGTAGGATAACTTGACTGAGGTGTCCCGATGGAGGCCTTAGATTGCATGGCATATCTTGTTACAGATGTTGCAGAGTTGACGGGTGTGTTATTAGAGTCCAGGTTTGGTCAACGGGCAGTCGACCACCATCTAGCGATTGTGATTAAACCTATAGAGCCAGTTCCATATAGCTTGCGCAAGGACACAAGCACACTCAAATGGAAACCTAGAGAACTGTTATAAGGATTAATGTTGGGTCCTGATTAGTGTATGGGACCGCCCAACAAAAAGGGGGTCCCTCATTAGTGGAAGGGTGCTGGGACCCCTGCAAACCTAGCTTTAATTTCAATTCGACAGGAGGAGGCTTTCCGAAGCTGACAATATGCTGTAAAATGTATTCAGTAGGGGAAGGGTTTCCTCTGGAGCTCAGAACCTGTGCTAAGTTAAATTCAATGCAGGAGGGTGTCTTGAGCTCGGAATCTGCAAGAATTCAATAGAGAGAGCGCTGCGGAGTTCAGTAGCTGTTCTAGAGTAAGTTCAGTCTCAGCAGGAAAGGCTTTTGCTTTTCTGGAATCCTTAGCAGGCCCGAAAATTTCGGACAGTTGAGTGCCCCCAAAGCAGGACCCAAGCAGCTGGATTAGCCCCTTACAAAAATTATTGCCTGGCCTCCTCGAATAAGCGGCTTGATGAGAAATAGATAATTTGGACCTGGCCTGAAACCTAATACTAGTCCTAAGGCTTGACATCATGAAGGTAAGAACTAGGCCTGGGCGCTTAGGCTACACAGATTGTCTAGGGTAGACCCCACCCAGCACTACTTGTAGTAGTACAACATGAATCTGGACCCCTATAATATTCGCTATTCCTTGTGGTCGCTATTTGTGGCACGGGGGTGGGGGCCTAACCAAGAACATTGTCTATCCTTTGTGTCCTAAGATCTACACAGAACATTTCCAGCGCTGGTATGTCAGGTGAGACGACTAGCCTTCGTGTAATGATTACAGCTGTTGTTGCTATGGTTGCAGCTCATATGCTTCTATGAGCTACTGTCAGTATTTGGCTTTTACTAAGGGACCACTAACTTATTTAGTTCGGTATAGTCCCCAACAGATTCCGTTATAGGAACGCATGTCCATTAATTGTATGGGAAAAGTATTGGTTGTAGCTCATATGTAACTATAACCAGAGCCATGTTTGGGATACTTTCAACGCTGCTGCTAATTGCCTGTGAACGTGACAGTAAGCCCCTACACCCCAAACTCCACACCCTCCATCACACACAGTAACCCATCAATCCACCCTGTTTAGGACTTTGGCGTTCAACCCACCCTGTCTAGGATTTGGGCCTTCAAGCCTAGACACTACACACTAACCCTAAACCGCAAAACCCTGCTAAACCGTTGGGCCTTCCTAGTTTGGACACCTTCTCGCGCCGGCCTGGGTAGCTTTGAATGCGCAAATGCTGGCCAGAGCCGCAAAAAGGGATCCCTTCACTAATTACCTACCTGGACCTCCCTACTGCCCATAATCCTGCTGATTCGTAGTAGGGATAAAGAAATATCTTATGTGGAGTATATACGGATTATATGATGCCCTTGGTCCCTACTGAGAACCAGTAAGTGAAGGCAGTAGCCCTTGGGCTCCAAGTCTGTAAGTCGGGGTTTCCCAAGATTAGGGGTAACTCTTCTTGGGGGGGGGGACTATATTGGGGTCCCTTTGTTGTGGGAAACAACCATATACCCTAAACCCAAACCTCTTCTTACAGCAACCCAGATTATTCCCAGATGCGTGGA